AGAATAATGATCCTTGGTTTAGTCTCTTTTTGTGGCAAGATTTATTGCAATCAGACTAAAACTGTATGAGGAATAGCCTTTTAAAACAATTTTACAGGAATTTAGATTTAAGTAGCCATGGCAACATCATTCAACCAAAAAAACAACAACAATAACATCAACTATGTTTCTTATTATAGTCTACTTGTGTTATATTGATATCAGACCAAAACTGTAGGAGGAGCAGCGTTTTGTAAATGTTTCCCAGAAGTTTCTATTTTTAGTAACCATGGCAACACTGTTCATTGAAATCAAAAACCGATACACAGAATTATGAAACTTAGTGTAGTCTACTTGTTTGCTAAGTTTTATTGATATCAGACCAAAACTGTAGGAGGATTAGCATTTTGTAAGTATTTCCCAGAAATCTCTATTTTTAGTAACCATGGCAACACCGTTCATTGAAATCAAAAACCGATAAACAGAATTATGTATCTTAGTATAGTCTACTTGTGTGCCATGTTATATTGAAAATCAAATCAAAACTGAAGGAGGAGTAGCGTTTTGAAAGTTTTTCACAGAAATTTCTCTTTTTAGTAACCATGGCAACACGTTCATTGAAATCAAAAACCGATACACAGAATTATGTACCTTAGTATAGTCTAGCTGTGTGCCAAGTTATATTGAACTCAGATCAAAACTGTTGGAGGAGTAGTGTTTTGAAAGTTTTTCACAGAAATTTCTATTTTTAGTAACCATGGCAACACCATTCATTGAAATCAAAAACCGATACACAGAATTATGTATCTTACTATAGTCTACTTGTGTGCTAAGTTTTATTGATATCAGACCAAAACTGTATGAGGAGTAGCATTTTGTAAGTATTTCCCAGAAATCTCTATTTTTAGTAACTATGGCAACACCATTAATTGAAATCAAAAACTGATAAACAGAATTATGTATCTTAGTGTAGTCTACTTATGTGCCAAGTAACATTGAAATCAGACCAAAACTGTAGGAGGAATAGCGTTTTGAAAAATTGTTTACAGACAGATAGACAGACAGACACCTAACTATCGCATAAGCTCTTCTGGTCTCTGACCAGTAGAACTAAAAAAAAAAAACAAATAACAAAATCAGGAGTCCTGAAATTGATTATTCTGGTCGAAGTCTTTGAATTCTGTCAATTTTTCTACATATTTGTCTACAATATGTCGTATTAGGTATATTTTAAGCAATTTATACCTTAATTTTGCAAAAGAATAAATCTTTCTACAAGAAAAAAATCTTAATGAAATTATATCCTTTGACAATGTAATTTGTATGACTTAAAGGTTTGTGTTTTTATTTTTTGTCTTTTGTTTTCTGCGAATAGGTAGGTAGGTTTTTGAAAGATGGGTGGACGCTTAACAGAGAAAAAAAAAACTTGGAATGACCTTATTTAAAATACAACTCACTGATGTTGTGTACCTTACCTGTTAAACATATGTAGAATTATATTATACAATTAATTACCTCTTATGAGGTCAACATGGTGAATTACGGACCCGAGACCTGGCCAACGAGGTGACCTGACCTGATCGAGGCCGCGTAGCGGCCGAGGTCAGGTCAGGTCAGCGAGTGGGCCAGGTCCAGGGTCCTTATTTCACCATGTTGACCTCATAAGGGGTAATCAATTGTTTTATTATACCGATATGTTAAGCCAATTTTTGTAGGCTTAATTACTAAAATAATCAATTCTGTATTAGACCTACGAACTGTAACTATCAGTGTTTCATCGGGATCGGGATTCGCTAGTGAAGTTGTTTGCCTTTCGCCTGCAAGTCTTGCAAGTTTTTGCACCGCCGATTTATTAAAACACTCTGTGAGTGTCAGTAACATGCATTTTTATAAATTCACAAATATCATTTTCGAGTACAATGGCAATCTGTTGCAGACTTGTACTGTACAAAAGAGCCAAGTCTGCATTCGTTGAATTTGACATTGTAACGAAAGTTTCAATGAAAACGATAAATTTTATGACGCATCTAAAGGACAATCGTATTCTGTATCATAAAAAGACTAAGAATATTTTTATAACGGCATTTTATGTAATGATCAGTCATTACTGTATGCATTAATTTTTAAATTTGAATGGAATTTAGATTCACAGGTCATTTTTAGCGGTCATTATTTATAATGACCGGGTCATTATACCCCACGTGCAATGATTCCTAGGTCATTATTGCTGTAAATGGTATATCAGTACAGGACTTCAAATTTAGACCAATACTCGGCACTCAGGGCCATGGAGCAGTGAGGGATCTTTATCGTGCCAAAGCCTACCGTGACACGGGTCCTCGGTTTTTAAGGTCTCATCCGAAAGACGCGACTTTCACTTCCAATGCCGGCTCTTTGCGAAGGAACAGTAACTACCTGTTAACGTCTTAGGTTTGAAGCGGCGCGTCGAACGATAATCGAACCCTGGCCTCCTGACCACGAAGCGAACGCCCTACAACTAGGCTACCGTGACCAGTTTTAAAAATTGAAACAAACTTAGTGCAAAGTTTTTTTTTACTAAATATGCTCATCGTATTTATATAGTTATTTCCATTGTAATTCATATAAGACTCTTCCACACATTTTGTTCGACTACATTTTTAAAAAGTCACCTTTAAAGCACATTAAGAACGAAAAAATTGTGAAGCGTAACAAAATATTTAATGATCAGCAACAAATTCTTAATATCAAACATGGCTGTGTCCGGGAGTATTTCATAACAATATGCAGCTTTCATATATTGAGGTACTGACATATATTTCATTTCTGGTTTCTCCTACAAGCAATGTCTGCATAATTTTGGACACTGTGTGAAGCCAATGATGTCACTGCAGTGGCCATCAAGTGCTAGATGTAAACATACATTGTGACCAAGCTTGTCGACACCTGAATATTTAAAAGAAACATTTAGAAGCATTTCTGATTCATATTGAGGAAGAAAGAATACATGTAATTTATTGATGTAATATACAGGCATCATGTGCACGAATCATTCAAAGTTTGAAATGTCTGGTCAAACACTGAACATACTTTACAAAAGTAAAGCAGATTGTAAAATTTTACATTACATTAAAATTCTACGTAAAAAAATTCTTATAATAAAGTCTGCTAAATATCAATTTTATATTAAATTTTGGTTGCTGGTCTGTAGTAAAGTCAATGTTAATGAACACTTTGCACCAGACTGTGGTATAAATACAATGGAGAGAGACTTCACTACTAACTTCCCTGACACGTTAATCATATATTAAATTTAAAGTAATTTTGAAGGGGGAAAAAGAAAGAAAACACTGGTATGAAGCTTTTAGTTATGATAAGCGTTTGTTTTCCGTGACCTTACCGTTCGCAGTTAGATCTATTTGCACTTCACTCTTTCATATGAACTTTTTCATATTAAACTGGAACGATTCAGAAACTATAGATACTCACAGTGACTACAAGGGTTATTTTGGCATGTCTTGGTTTCCTTTGCAGCACCATAGCACGTGTTGCCGCCATGGCTAGGCGGCGGGTTACTGCAGCTGCGACTTCGATTACGTGTACCTTGATCGCAAGTCACTGAGCATTGCCCCCAAGAAGACCAATTATTCCGAAGTCCATCAACCGCTACAAGACAGAGAAATATGTAGTTTAGCTAAGCTCCAGATATGTCACGCTGCAGCTTTTTTTTCGAAGGCAAAAAAAAATCCCTTGGAATTTACACTGTATGTCAGAAGTATGTTGTATCAAGTGCGAAAGCATGAACATCTTTACAGTAAATGTTAAATTTAATTCGTCCCTTAATTGGCATATGACGTTTCTTATAAAGCTAAATACGTACGACAGGCCTTTTGTTGACATTGCTGAGTCTCCCTACTTGGTCCGGAACACGAATGACCTCCATGTTGTGGGGACGGATTGTTGCAATTTCGAGCCCGATAGATTAAACCACTACCGCATGTTACGGTACAGGAACTCCAGTGCGACCACGAACTCCAGTCTCCATTAATCACTTTAAAACGACATTAATTACATTCCAAATCAAAGAATGACAATATGATTTTTTTTAAGTTAAAGAATCCTTCCTTTTGAGTAGACTAGTTTTACATATTAACCAATTTTCTCGCATTACATTTAGTAGGGAACACAAGAGAGTAATGCAAAGCCAATCTTCAGAAGTTTTCAATATCTCAACTTCAACAAAAAAAGTGTAGATCTTGATTGAATTCTGAAAGAAAAGTAAATACCCAGGACAGATTGCGAATAAAACAAAAGCATAACGTCTTCAAAATCGTTTTCTTTCATGTGGAATTTTAACAGATAAGATGTTTGTTCGACGTTAAAAAGTTTTTTTCCCCAACCATTATCATTGTTAACAGTATAGGATATAGACCAAAGAAATAATTAAAGATATTACGACACAAGCTTGATTGACAATACACATACGTACGGTATGCTTCTTTTAATATATGATCCATGTAGTATACATATAGCTTTAATTTATGTTATAAGGGTTGATGTGATTATAGAAGAAAGTATGTTTAAGCCGAATTTTTCTTTTAATATTATTTATACATACATAAAGAAATCATTTACCACATGGTGAAGCAGTGCATGGAATCTGCTTGGTTGAGGGACCTGAACATTGTTTTCCTCCGTGAGAAGGCGCGGGGTTATCACACTTTCTGATGTATTCCTCTGTTCCATTTCCACATGTAACACTACAGAGTTTCCATGGTGACCAGGACCCCCAATGTCCTTCAACAGCTGCATGGTTATAAGAATATATGTGAATTTACATTATTTAAAGGTCTCAACTAATCAACTATCTTCCATTAAAACATTCTGTGAAAATTACAAACAATGGGAGTTTGCAACAGTTGTAGTGAAACTTGTTATCATAAATATCCCTCCAACAATCAACAGGCTGCTATCAAAATTTAAAAATTATGTAATAAAGTAAAATGGTTCTGAATATTTACCGCACTGTGTAAAGCAGGGCATCATTTCCTGGTCAGCTCCAGTACAGGGATTTCCGCCATTTTGGGGGGCTGGGTTATCACACAGCCGGGTCCTTGTACGGTACCCTGATATACCACACGGCTGACTGCATCTTCCCCAAGTGCTCCAATCTCCCCAGTAACCATCAACAGCTGTCAGAATAGATTCTTTATAACATGGTTAGAAATCCATTTTCAGTGAAACATCTGTAGCATTTTTAGCTGTTTGTACTTCTGAGATATGTGATTCAATGTTTTCATTTATAAATTGAATAAATTTAGATAGAAATGCCTTAAGTAATTTAAGAGTTATAATTTAATTTCAATTCAAAGTATCGTGCTAATAGTCATTTACTAGCTCTCACGTTGACAATTTCTGTGAGATGGCTACAATAAGTATACACGTAAGCATTCTAAAATGAATATTGTCTTTCTTTCTTTCTTATTGCCATTTTTTTTTATTAGTAAATCACTATAAATATAAATGTCATTAAGTACACCAAACAAGATGTATAGAGTTACACATGTACCATCTCATACACAACGATTTAAAGAACGTTTTTGAGTGTCAACTGTGTTCATAGGGATCACTATAGAAAAATCAAAGTTTTCAAAGTAATCACTATAATGTCATAGTGATCCACAAAGTAAATCAGTCATCACTATTGTAAATCAAAGTGACAAAATTGTCTTATAGTTAACTAAAGTTTTCATAGTTTCAAAGTTGCCCGTGTGGCGCAGAGGTTAGGAAGTATACTCCAGGATCGCGGCGCAAGGAGTTGAACCTTACTTCACGGTTTCGAATCGACTGTGCGACGTAGAGACCGGTCTTTCGGATAAGACCGTATAAACTGAGGTCCCGTGTCGCAGGAAGTGCTGGCACCAAAAAAAAAGGCCGCAAGTGCCGAGTACAGGTCTAAATTCCTCCATTGGCAAGTTGTTGCGTCTCAATATGAGTGAAAAATTCTCAAAAGGGATGTTAAACAGCAAACGAACAAAAAATCAAAGTTATCACTATAAATGACAGTATACTACTACGGTCAACTATAGTTTACTATACATTTTTTTTTTTGGGGGGGGGGGGGCTCCCAATAGTCCTGGCAGTATAAACAATATGTTCTAGTGATACACGCAATTTGTGGCCCTGTTATTTAGTTACAGATTTCTCACTTATCATACATGTACATGGTTTCTGTATGACAAAATAATGTAGTTTTTTATTTTGCTAATAAATCCTATATCCTTTTACCTTGTTTTGAGGACGAAACCAGGAATCGTGGTTGTTTCTGAAGTCTTGCAAAACAATGCGCGACTGAAACGTAGAAAAAAAATTCAATACATGTATTTATGTCATTAAGGGTACTATACATGCGCTAAACTGATCTTAGACCCCCCCCCCCCCCCGAAAACGCGGATCCGTGTTAAGAAGTTGGTATGAAAATTCATACATGTAGGTATGAAGCTTTAGAAGTCAGCAACTCTTCCCCCCCCCCCGACATAGGTTTTTCAGGTTTGGGAAAGGAGTTTACGTTTCTGGGGTGGATTTTTTATGGACTGGGGTTGAAACACTCCCCCCCCCCCCTCCCCGAAAAAAATTCTGGATCCGCGCCTGCTATGTACAGCTTTCATGCTGTCTGGGTACAAATTCAAACAATTTTAAGAGCAATGCAATATCAAAAGAACGTTATATAAAATAATTAATTGTCAAAAAAAGGACAAACAAGAGACAATAAAAAGCTACAAATCTGTATCGACCTCTTAAAATTTATTAATTCCATTATTTATATACTAGATTAAATATTTCAGTTTGTCTTTACTTACCTAATAATGTCAAAAAGAAGTGTCTTACTGCAAAAGTCAAAATTAATAACTGTTTTACTAGAATGGGAAATACATGTATATCTATCTAGTAATTTCTACCTTAATTTGTGTTGCCATTATTATAAGGTTTATAAGACGGTTCAATTGCAAACAATCTGTATATATTATATATCTACATGTACTATTTACCAACATATATTGATATAACTTAAGATTACCTTTCTTGATTTTGTTATAGAAAGTAAAATCTACATTGAGCTAAGTTCAGTGAAAAAATATATTTTTTCCTATCTACAGTAGTCATTATACATGTTTGATAACCGAGAGACGTAAAAATTCAAATTGTTACACTTACTTCTCTTCATTATAGCTGGACAGTTCAGTTAAGGTCAAATAAAGGTGAGGCCAGAGAGGGGCGTTTAATGTCTTATCTTAATGTATATCATTTATTGCTGTAATGAGGACATGTACACTTTTCTATATTAAAATGTTCAAATGTCTCTGTCCGAGATAAAATTAAAAATAAGGAAAATAATAAGGCTATAAAACCATTTGTCATTACTTGAAAGAAGAGAACTGCCTTCAAGCTTTGTTTCTTTATCAGGAGGTATGTCTTTAAAGTTAAAACAATTCTTAGATGATAACTTTATTTTGACGAGAATATCTTTGAAGTACGCTTAGATACATGCATGCATTTTGCAAGATTGAAACTGAATAATTGATAGGAAATAGCGAAATAATTCAGAGCTTTCAAAAGAAGAAATCAGTACACTTTATTTAAGAATTTTTTGGTTCCCCGCTTTTACTTAAAGAGAGGATATTAATTTGGGTCTTTCTGTCCGTCCGTCTGTCTGTCATCTTGTCTTTTGTAACACGTCCGTTACCAGACGCTATCTCAAGAAGCCTTTGAGGTGTTGCAATGAAATTTGTTATCAAATTTCCCTATGGCCCATAAAAGACCCCTATTGATTTTCAGGTCAAATGGCCAGTCATAAATTCATACATTCTGTTTGTGCGTAAAACTATCGTTTCCTGGCGAAATCTATAAGGCTTTTGCAATGAAATTTTCTATCACAACTCCTCATGGCCTCAAAAGGACCCCTTTTATATTACAAAGATCATAAATTCAAACATTCTGTTTTTTTTTGCAACTCTTTCGTTTCCGGACGATATCTTAAAAGCATTTGGCTCTTGCTATGGAATTATACATCACTACTCCTTATGCCTTTTTTTAATTTTTAAATCAAGAAGGTCAAAGGTCAAGGAAGAAATTCATACATTACAAAAAAAAAGCACTTTCCTTATGATTTTAATTTTCTTTAAGCTTAATTTAATACCTAAGGCCTAAATGAGACACCTATTGATTCTTAGGTCAAAAGGTAAAGGTGAGAAATTCATATATTCTGTGTAACACTTATTTATGCCCCCGCCATAAAATGGTCTCGGCATATAGTGTTACCCTGCTCCGTCATTCAGTCATCATTCACTTTCCGTTCATTGTCTCTGCAACAGTTGCACACATTCAACTCAAATTTGATATATGGATACGTCTTGGGAATACGCGGGTCAAGTTAGAATTTTGTCATGGTCCAATGATTTTTGACAGAGTTATCCCTCTTGAACTTCGGAAAAAATGAGAAATTATCAGTTTCAGCTCTCTAACTTTTGTACGGATGTATGTATAAGGTTGAAATTGCATATTCAGGTATTTTATCAGAAAAAAAAAACAAATCAAGTTTGAATTTGGTCATGGTCCGATGATTTTGGAGAGAGTTATCCCTCTTGAACTTATAGAAAAAAAGATTTTTTAAGTTTCCGCTCTCAAACTTTTGTAGGGATGTATGTATAAGGTTGAAATTACATGTGCATTTGTTTTACCAGGGAATATAGGTCAAATTTGAATTTGGTCGTAGTCCGATGATTTTTGACAGTTATCCCTCTTGAACTTAGAGAAAAAATTTTAAAAAAATTAGTTTCTGCTCTCTACCTTTTGTAGGAAAGTATTCAAAAGGCTGAAATTGCATATGCAGGTATTTTACTAGAAAATACGGGTAAAGTTCGAATAGAATTTTAAAACTAAATATTGCATTTGAAATTATTGCTGCATGCGGAGGCATTCGCGGCGATAACGACGCATCTAGATTCCTATCAATATCTTAAACACCTTTGAAATTTTTCAATGAAATTATTTTGGTTATCACAACTCCGCATGAGCTTAACAAAAACTTTTATTGATTTTGAGGTGAAAAGGTCAAGATAAGAAATTTACATTGTATATATATTTTCCAGATGATAATTTTTGTTTTTCTTTAAGCTCTTGCAATGGAACTAAAGATCATGAATTTCTTAATTTAAAAAAAAAAAGTTTCCTATTGACTTTAAGGCCAAAAGCTGAAAGGCACAGGTTGACCTTTTTTTCTATTTCCATTGGCATAATTTTTTAAATTCTTCAACCCTCTTCTTTTTTCCCTTAAGCCTGGGAAACAAGTTCTCTGAACTAACTTTTTTATTAGCAGTGTTTGCACAACTTTGCACACTGAGTATATCCAACGACGTCTCTGCAATGTCCTGTCATTGCCACTGCGACGCAGGCATCATGACCCATTTTGTTGTGACCTTGAACAAAAGAAAAACAAATGAAATATCGTAGCCAGAATGCTTCCAGAAGTTAATTAACTACGCAGCAATGTTAAGGCGTACTACGAACAAATCAACAGAAAATAAACGTGCACGAAACATACCATTTAAAACTGATTTTTTTCTGAAAAGCTATTAAATTTTCACATGACTTTAATTTGATTGAAATAAGATTGCTTATTCCACTCTGTTTTGAATTCGGTTGGTCACGTTATTTAACAGTCACGTGATAAATACATATGTGTAGTGTATGTAGGTCATAAACAAATTTCAATATCGAAAGGGCATACCCTAGTTAAAATTAAAAAAGATATGTTATAAAATCTTTTTATATAACTTGTAGTTTATGGAAAGTGCTGCTGCTTTAAATAGAAATCGCATTTTATTAGTTTAAATTTCAAGTTATTTGGCTCTGGTCGAATATGTGTGAGCTTTACTAAGTGTTGTATGTATTTATTAAGTAATGCTCTCGATTTCAGGAAAGCAGTTAAGGAATGTTTCCGTTATGTAACCGTAAAACCGTCAAGATCTATTAAGTGTATGCCCTTGCGAAAAGGCGATTGAATGAGGCACCTCGATGTAAAACATGCCAACCCTGTACACAAAATAATCTAATACATTCTCCCGATAATTATTATATGATGGCACTAAACAAATGATTCACTTTAGTATTATTGGTCTATGTAATATCTGTAAATAATATTCTGTAAAATAATTAAATGTATTTTCACTGTGAAAAAAAATTACATGATCCGCCTCTAACTGCACATAAACTGCGTCAAATTTTACCATGAGGACGTCATGTCGACAAGTGACTGGATTATGTCTTGCTGTGTGGGATTTAACTAGCGACAAAAATGAATGTAGCGGTAAGTTTAATGTAGTGCGTTACTCTTATGCACATTATTTCATTTTCTGATATTGTGAGGAATTGCTATTTTTGTGTATGTCACAGTAAGCATTTCCCGTATAAATTAGGCCCCGCCCCTTTTATGCAGCCCCCAACAGTCCTGCGTAACAAGCAACTTCTTCGTCCAAATATTGATACTCACAATGGTGACATGAACCTCCATTGCAGTGCCGAGATTCCCTGTGATCGCCTTGACACGTGTGGCCGCCATTACTTGGAGGCGGATTGGTACAGCTGCGACTCCTGTGCTGGACACCGTCATGGCACGTTACTGAACACTGACCCCAAGCAGACCAGTCGCTCCAATGTCCATTTTGAGCTAAATGTAAACATATTCCTTTCATATGAGTATTTGTATTAATACAAATGAGTGTGTACCATTTTTAGCAGATAAATGAAGAATCATGTTCACATGCTGTTTATGTAAAACATCAGAAGATTGACAATCTTATGAAAAACAAATCACTTTGTTCTCCAGTCTTTTGATACCACAGACATCTGAAGCGTGGATAACATTATCCATTTATTGACTGCATTCGAGGGCAACATGGGTTTTGTCGGACCCAAGAACCAAACTGCTTGATTGAGGCCGTTAGGCTGAAGGCAAACAGTTTGGTTCGAGGGGTCGACAAAACACATTTTACCAGCTGAGAACACAGTAAATAAATGTTTTGTTATACCTTTTATTTATTTATTTCTGTTAAACATGTATCTTTTGCTGGCTTCCATCCCAAGGAATGTAAATAAGATTTTGCTGATCCCGCCCACAGTGTGACGTTAGCGGTCCAGTATCTCACTCTGCGGTCAAATATCGATTTTTTTTATGACCGCTCAGTAAAACATTAGAAATGTTAGATATTTTTTAGTATAGATTTATATAGAAACTGATTTTTAAAAATGTAACACTATCTATTGACAACAATACAGGAGACTTTGACTCACGTTGTTTCGCTCCATCTGATTGGTGACAGAGGGGAATTTTTCTTCTAGTACAAGATTATTTACTTCCCAAATATCATTACATTTTTGTCCAATATACAACATCTATGAATGTTTCCTGCATAGTGTGATATACTGATGTTTATTCTCATATGTGTACGTACGTGGGTGACATTGTTGTTCGTGACAATTTCGGGTCTCTTTTTTATTTCCCGAGCAGCCCTGGCCACCGTGTTGTGGGGAGGGATTATTACAACTACGATGTCGATGTCGTACGCCATCGCCGCACGTTACAGAACAAGTGTCCCAAGAAGACCAACCTCCCCAACCTCCATCAATTGCTGAAAGAATGAAAACAGGACTTCCCTAGAAATTTCAGTTGTATACAAGCGGAAAATAAACCCTATTGAAATTTTTGACTAAGTACTTCAATGCATATTCAGTTGATAGTTTTAAGGTCCGATTTCTTTATATCATCAAATTAGGGATCGATTCATTGAATGTATGTTGTTTTACGTCTCATTTGAGAATTTTTCACTCATATAGAGACGTCACCATATAATTTAAACCTATACTCGGCACTTAGGGTGATTGAGCAGTGAGGGATCTTTATCGTGCCAACGTGACACGGGGCCTCGGTTTTTAAGGTGTCATCCGAAGGACCCGCAACTTTCACTTCAAAGTGCCGAGCGCATGGCAAAGAACAGTTGCTACCTATTTTTATCGACTTAGGTCAGTCACGGCCGAGATTCGAACTCACGCCCTACCGATCACGGAGCGAGCGCTCTACCGACCGAGCTCGCTTGAACTTTTTCAATTTATTGAGGTTCTTGTGAGGATAAAGAAGCAAATGAAGATGACATGAATTTAACGTTCTTTTTTTCTGTTAGTCATTATATTTTAACGTCAGTGATAAGTCCCTGATAAGACTCTAGCAGTAAAGTTTGTACAATATACAAGAAATAAAATTAGCAAGTGGACATCAAAACTAAGTAGCAATCTATTTTTAGTCAATATGTCACAAAAAACCTTGGTCATAACGTTCGAAAGAGAGAAGAAAGGGGTTTCATTTTTCAGCTGTGACAATACATTTCTCAATATACAATAATTTTCTTTTACGTCTTGACCCTGACGTTTGACCTCCTTTTAAAAAAATGTATCTTTTGAATGAGAAAAAAATATGGCGTTCATATTTGAAATGTGCATTATCTGTGATAAGAACTTTTCAAATATTCTGTTATTTTTAACCCATTGACATTGAAGTCTAAAATTAAAGATGGGACTTTCTTGTTTGACATATGCACTATATGTGACAAGACCTTCTCAGATGTACTTAGATTTTTGAACACGCGACCTCAAGTTGATCTTGAAGTTTGACTTTTCTAAAAATTAAGCATTGATGATAACTTTTGAATGAGAGTGGCATTTATTTTTAATATGTGGATTACCTGTTACAAGAGTTGATTTACATTTTTGTGCTAAAACATAAAAAAAAACACAAGAGGCCTAAGGGCCATAACGGTCACCTGAGTATAATTCAACAATTTAGAGGATCCATAGAGTAAAATAAACTGATAGTTGAAGCTACTTTTATCTTCCTTTATAAGTACAACCAGTAAAGCTACGGTCTCATGACAGACTTCTGGTTATTTTATGATATAATTATGTCATTTAAACTATGCCTGCATGTGTAGTACAAGAAAATGATTTTAAAATGTAAACACTGAACTTCTTATATTAATATCAAATCTAAGTCCATGCGCAGTTACATCAACAAATTATTGTTGTTATTGAAGTAACCTCGCTCAAGATATACTACCACAAGGTGAAGCACTGCATGGAACTAATTTTGTAGAGTGTCCTACACAGTGTCTCCCTCCATGATTAGGCGCGGGACTGTCACATGACCTGTGATATACCTCGGTTCCATTGCCGCAGGTTACGCTACAAAGTTTCCATCCACTCCAGGAGCCCCATTGTCCATGTACAGCTGTATTAATGGAAACAAAAAAGAAAAAAATCTGAGAATCACACTGCGATGTTTGTTTTCAAAATCAGGTTCTTTTTGTTGTCAGACGAGACATAGGTGACACATATACTTAATTTAAAAGAAAAATAAGGAAACTTTACATTATAGATTTACTCAAATTTACCACAATGTTTAAAACAGGGTTTCATTTCGGCGTCAGCTCCAGAGCAAGGGTTGCCACCGTTTTTAGGAGCAGGATTATCACAAAGGCGGGTCCGCATCCTGTAACCTGGCACTCCACAAGGTGTACTACAGCTGCCCCATTTACTCCAGTCTCCCCAGAAGCCATCTATTGCTAAAAAAATAGCGCGGAATACAAAAAAGAAACGGTGACATAGGGTCACGCTGAGGGATGTCAAAGAAAGACACAATCCTATATTAATGTTTAAAATAAAATATAGCTTACACAAGAGGTATCATGAAGAAATCCATATATACACTGAAGTAATATGACCAAAAAACATCTAGTCTCTCCTTGCTATTGAAAATTATTTCCGAAAACAAATTAAAAAAACGATTGCAGTTGCCTAGTGATTAGGCGTTTGCCTCGCGATCAGGAGGCAAGGGTTTGATTCCGTCAAACATAGGGCGTTTAATATGGAAAGTGACTGTTCCTTAGCCAGAGCGCCTGGCATTAGAAGTGAAAGTCACGTGCGTTTCGTTTGAAACCTAAAAACTGAGGTTCACTGTCACGATAGGTTTTGGCACTTTAACATTCCTTTATTGCTTCAGCCGTAAGCGCCAGGCGAAGGTGAAAAATCTCTAAGAGGGAAATATTCTCGAATGGGACGTTTAACAACATATATAAATCATAATTGGAAAATGTTACAATGAGAACTTATTGAATTATTAGAGTCACGAAGTAAGGAGTTGATCCTTACGTCGCGGGTTCGTATCCCACTGTGGGACGTGGAGACCGGTCCTTCGGATGAGACCGTATAAACCGAGGTCCCTTGTCGCAGTAGGTGCTTGCACGAAAAAGATCCCTCACTGCTCAATGGCCGTAAGTGCCGAGTGTAGGACAAAATTTGCAGCTCTTCACCGGCAAGTGGTGGCGTCTCCATATGCGTGAAAAATTCTCGAGAGGGACGTTAAACATCATACAAACAAACGAACAAACTTATTGAATTATTTTTGATAAGTGTGAGGAGCAGACTGAAACTGTATTAACTTGTGTGAATTATGACGATAACGAACAGCAATCAATTTCAAAAGTTCATATTTGAACAATACAAATTGGGACCAAACACGGACCTCTAGAAACATCAGAGGTTAGATCAAGCGCCATAAAGGAGTAAGCATCCCTGTTTTAGTACTTGAGAATCGGTAAAAACAGTTTGAGATACCGCTTCACAACAACAAAAGACTGGTTTCTTTTATTGCCAAAACCTTCTGCTTAAAAGTTGATATTTACGGTAAACACTATTTGAGATGTCCTGTCACGACAGATAAAAAGATGTAATTACAGACAAAGCGAAGTGACCTCTTACTTTTGATACTTGCCCTCTCTTGTTCAGTTTCTCAAAATATAATAGACTGAAAAAGGCCATACAATTAATTTTCATGGAAATAAAAAAGATTTTACCCCTCGTCTCTATAGATCTGCACTTGTACTTGTCTGTATGAACCCCTATCCCACCCCGATTTGTTCTGCTTATTTATAATTTTAAAAAAGTTTTTACACCACTTCTAACACAGTGTATTTGGGGCCATATTTTTGAATAATTTATTGATTGATGTACCATATATATATATATACACAAGAAAATTTCAAACAATTTTGGAATTATAAAACATTGAATATTACAAAAAATCTTAATATGAATTGATTCTCCCAAAATGTACCTTGCTGTACTAAAGACGTAGATGTAGGCTGTGGATTAATTACAGCAAAGCAGTTGGTTACTGAAATACATGAAAAATCCACAATGTTACAAACGTCAAAAATGTAGGTTATAAATATGGTTTCCCTAGATTGTTCAGAACATATATTCTCTCTTTAAATTCTTAAAATGTAATTAATTCAATAATTTAAATAAACTCTTGTGATAGACTTGACAAAGCATGATTCAGATTCTATAATATTTTCTTTACCATATTTAAATTTTGTCTGCTTAAAGCATGGTACATCTTCACATTATGGTCTCTTTTATTTGGTGTCAGATGAAAGAGAACATACATTTTATCCCATTTTGTTTCTTTGAAAAAAAAAAAAAGAAACTTACGTAAAAATGTCAGACACGGAAGCAGACCTCTTGCTGCAAAACCGAAACGAAAAAACAAATTATTCTGTTCACTGATCGTAGCCTTGTCGAAAATAACGTATATAATCAATGGGTTCAAATTACTACAGTCTACTGAAGAATTATACCATATGAAATGATCACTGTCTAAAACACATGATAGTTCAATCACAAGCGTACTGTGTAAACACCGGGTTCAAACACATGTATCACAGAACTGCTTTAGACCTAAACTGCACAAAATAACCACGATTATCACCAAAAATCTACATGTACTTTTGAAGAAGTAATATCTACTTAATTTTCCTCTCAGTAAAAAAATAGATAAAGACCATGTTACACATATGACATTAAAATCGTTCAAAAATTATTATACTTTTTTCAATAAATAATGAAAAACTGACCTTCTAACTGCATTTTCAGCAGAAAATGTCAAACCTGCATCAAAAGGGGCCACTAAGACCGTTCTCGTTACTGACTTACTGCCATATATATTCGTTGTATCTTATCTTATGGACATGTATTTAACATTGATTTCTGTGATATTTTACAAATCCAAATAATTATTACGGGACATACATTAGAGGATACCAGCCTGTGGATATGTACACAAATAAAGCTTAATGCTTATCATAAACAATTTTTTTTTTTTGTATTTGGTTTTGGTTTATTTTGATTTCCCGAAATTTAGGCGTATCTTTGACAAGAAAGAGGTCCATGGGCTTCGACTTTCACCTGAATTGAATATCATCAATTTCTCGGTACTATAACCCTATAAATCCCTCCTTGGGTACAGTATAACTAGTACAATATCTGAATTTTTTATGCGGTAGCATGTCGAAAAAAATGTTGAAAAGCAAAACATTTATTGTGATAGAAGGCGCAAAAGGAGAAACAAGTTTTAAACTTTGAAAATTTAGAAATTCACGACGAAGCATCTGTAGACAATGACGAGTCAGAAGACATTGACTATAAAAGCCCACCTAATGTAGATTCTGTAGAAGATTTGGTAAATGAAAATGACCAAAACGCATTCGTAGAAAACCGAAATGGATAAATGATTATGACACTTAAAGAGGCTGGGGGGTTGTGGCCATTTTTAGACTATATTGATCTCCTTTAGAAGAAGAGCTCCATATGAACATATAGAAAATGATCAAATTTTAAAACTAAAATTTTTGAAATTTTTCTTTGCCAAATGATAGTTGACAGCTTAAGATATCATATCTAAAAAATTAAGTTAAATCTGGTGGTTAATTTGTGGTTAATTTGTTAACCCCCCAGCCTCCTTAAAATTTATTAGGCTAGGAAAATGGAGCTACGGTTGATTTTGTGTGTTGAGTATACAGATATACAATAGAACCCACATTCATTGAACTCTTTTTATTTGAAAAATCAGTTTGAAATGAATTTAGTTTCCCCTAAAAACTGGTACAGTTTCTTTGTTAAAAATACTCGTTTATATTGAAATCGGTTAAATTGAAAAACTTTGTTAATTTGAGTGATTTTGAGGTCCGCTGAACACAAAGTATGTTGTTTTGATAACGGTTATATTGAAGTCGACGATTACGATACGTGGATACTAGGCTGTGTATTGAGCAAAAAATGTCGATACAATATTTTATAAAGCGATATATTGGATTCTTTAACAAGTCTATCAAAAAAGTCATGTAAATCATTTCATGCATAGATTTGATAAAAACTGATTGTTTTATAACCCATTTCTAAGTTCTTGTCTCACTTTCACTACAAAATACACTTCAATTTCAAACTTATTAACAACTGTACAACCAACATGTTAAAATATAGTTGTCCATGTATTTTGTAATACTTATTTATTATGTGCTATCTCTTTCATGTTTGTTATTATTGATCAGTTTTAATTTAAAATAGTTAAATATAATCTTTGGTGATTGAAATTCCCAACTTTTTCACAGAATTGTAAGAGAAGCTACCTGTCCGATATTTATTGGAAGTTATTTTTTCGACACGATATTCTTTAATATCGATTTGTATCGATATATTGATACAACCCTAGTGGACACAGGTGAGTAATTACATACGAGGTCCAGCACAGGTATTTTTTTTCCTAACACAGGTAAGTTGATTTCGGTGGACTTGTAAAAACAATGAAGCATTTTTCACCAGCACATATTTTCGTCTTTTTTATATAATTATCTATATAAATAAGGAATAATAAACGCTACCATAAACAAACAATCGACGCAAAAATCAAAGCCGTCGACAAAAACAGAGGTCACGGTTAATCTGTCACTAGCAATCACGTGGTTCAACAGAGCACAGAGTCGGGTTTTCCAATCAAACTATCACCGTTTTCTGAAGTCGGGATTTGCATATGATGATCCAGAACCAGTCGTCCAATCAGATGAGGAGTTTTACGACATGACTCTTAGTGAGTGACACAACAATTGAGGATTATGTTGACGTTGATAGCAAAGTGTTCTAGCGTGAAGTACTGACTATCAGAAGTTGACAGCGACACCGGTGAAAGTGATGATGAAAAAGATGCGGCTGTTGAACATGTAATCCCTTCAACTGACGAAGCCCGTATGGCTTTGAAAACAATTTATAATTATCTACAAGGTCAGTCTGATGTTCAAGACGAACTTTTTTCGAGTGTTAAGTCTCGATATATTTCTAACACGGCTCAACCCAAAAATTACGTATCTTTTTGAAAAAAAGAGATACATGTACATGCATTTCATTTTCTAAGACGCACCATGTAATTTTTTGTTAAAAAATACACGAATTCTCGCACTGATATTACATTTTTTACCGTATCATTTTACATGTGAATCACTGCACACGGATATATTGAAAATCGGTTAATTATACTCCTTTTTCGAAGGAGAGGGGGTATACTGTTTTACCCTTGTGTGTCTGTCCGTCTGTCTGTCCCTAACAAATTTTGGTCGCAGTTTTCTCAGCAACTACTCATTACAGATGCTTGAAATTTT